GCACCCCCTTGCCTGCTCCTCCTCCCTCGCACGTCAAACATAAGCTGCTTGTCCTCACTCCCAAAGCCTCCCCAGCTGCTCCCTCCAGCCAGGAAACGCCGGAGCCGGGCTCTGCTCTGCCCACCCCCCCTCCAGCACCCCAACATCCACCCGGGGACCACCCCAACAGCCACCTCTCAGCCCCAAAAAATAACCCCAACACTCACATCTCAGCCCCAAAAATCAACAGCCGCCCCAACAGCTACGTCTCGGACCCAAAAAACAACCCCAACACTCGTATCTCAGTCACCAAAACCATCAGTCACCTCAACAGCTGCTCCTCAGCCCCCAAAACCAACCCCAACACTCGTATCTCAGCCCCAAAAATCAACAGCCACCCCAACAGCCACATCTCGGACCCAAAAAACCCATCCCAACACTCATATCTCAGCCCCAGAAACCAACAGACATGTCTCAGCCCCAAAAACCAATCCCAACACTCATATCTCAGCCCCCCAAACCAATATCCAAGTCTCAGCCCCCAAAACCATCAGCCACCCCAACAGCCACATCCCAGACCCAAAACCCAACCCCAATACCCAAACCAATATCCAAGTCTCAGCCCCCAAAACCATCAGCCACCCCAACAGCCACATCCCAGACCCAAAACCCAACCCCAATACTCGTATCTCAGCCCCAAAACCATCAGTCACCCCAACAGCCACGTCTCAGCCCCCAAAAAACCAACCCCAATACTTGTTTCTCAGCCCCAAAAACCAACAGCCACGTCTCAGCCCCCAAAACCAACCCCAACGCTCATATCTCAGCCCCGAAAATGAACAGCTGCCCCAACAGCCACGTCTCAGCCCCAAAAACCAACCCCAATACTCGTATCTCAGCCCCCAAAACCAACCCCAACGCTCATATCTCAGCCCCCAAAACCATCAGCCACCCCAACAGCCACATCTCAGCCCCAAAAACCAACCCCAATACTCGTATCTCAGCCCCAAAAATCAACAGCCACCCCAACAGCCACATCCCGGACGCAAAACCCAACCCCAATGCTCGTATCTCAGCCCCCAAAACCACCAGTCACCCCAACAGCCATGTCTTGCTCGTATCTCAGCCCCCCAAACCACCAGTCACCCCAACAGCCATGTCTCAGCCCCCAAAAAACCAATCCCAACACTCATATCTCAGCCCCAAAAACCAACAGACATGTCTCAGCCCCCAAAAGCCAACCCCAATACTCGTATCTCAGCCCCCAAAACCATCAGTCACCTCAACAGCCACCTCTCAGCCCCCAAAAAACCAACCCCAACACTTGTATCTCAGCCCCAAAAATCAACAGCCACCCCAACAGCCACATCCCGGACGCAAAACCCAACCCCAATGCTCGTATTTCAGCCCCCAAAACCACCAGTCACCTCAACAGCCACGTCTCAGCCCCCCCAAAACAGCCCTGACACCTCCTTCTGCTCCAAAAACCAGCAGCCACCCCAAAACCTGTGTCTCATCCCCAAAAAGCAAGAGGCACCCCAACATCTGCATCTCAGCCCCCAAAAACCAAATCCAACACCTGCATCTCAACCCCAAAACCCACCAGCCATCCCCAACCCTATGTGTCATCCCCAAAAACAAGAGGGACCCCAACACCAGCATCTCAGCCCAAAAACCCATTAGTCACCCCAACACCTGCATCTCAGCCCCCAAAGATACCAGCCACCCCAAAACCCGTGTCTCAGCCCCAAAAACAAGAGACACCCCAACACCAGTGTCTCAAACCTGGTGCCCCACCAGCCCTCCCACCCCCCCAGCTCCTGCCTGCACCCCCATGGTACCCCAGGGACACTGGTCACCCCAACACCCGCATCTCAGCCCCAAAACCCAACAGCCACTCCGAAACCCTTGTCTCAGCCCCCACAACTAACAGCCACCCCAAAACCCGCATTTCAGCCCCAAAATCCAGGGCCAGGCCAGCCACGTGCCATCCCGGTCCAACCACCTGGCCCTCCAGACCCTCGTGGTGTGGGGAGGATGGACGGGGCAGTCTGGGGACGAGGGGACAGGGGGTCACCCCACCCCAGGAGCTCCATCGAGGGGACCCCAAAGGACAGACGGGGTGAGGACCCATGGGGAGCCCCTCCAGCTCCTCTCCCAAAGCTGGGGAGCACCCTGGGTGGGGTCAGGTTGGGT